TATGTATGTATGTATATTTAAATATATATATATATATATATATATACTTGACACTCCCTCGTCGTATTTTTTATTGAGTACTGTGACACATGGTATTTCCGAAAATGTGTTGTAGGATAAGAAGGCCGATGCAGAGCCCCGTGCTATCACCTCCTGGCTGGCTGAACATCACGAACACAGACAACAAAACTCCGTTGGTGAGTCAGAATACGCAGACATGCCTCAGAAGCCCTACAAAATCACCTACGGTACTACGGCTGCACCTCATGGGGGCATCCACCATCGCTATACCCACACTAGTGACGGCCAATACGCGCAAGGTGAGGTGTATGAAACAGTGGCTGCTTATGTCGCCGAAACCTCGCTGAGTGAGACTCAGTCGCCCTATAAGTTGGACCTTAAAGGTAGGGTTTATATATTGTGTATGCCATTATTTTATTATTGTCACCCTCGGGGGGTTCTTGTACTTTGTCCTAATATGGAGATTAACGGGACTTGTAGAGCTCCACAGTGTGAGACTGAAGGCGGATCTCCCAGACGATGAAAGATGGACAGTGGTCTGGCATGATAGACGGTGGTTAGCTATTTGTTATATAATGATACCCTCATGCAGGTCAAGGTACACTACCATTGAGGATATATGTACTCGAATCTGTGCAGGTACAAACGGCAAAGATTTGAACACAGTTTAATAAACGTCTAGGTATGTAGGTGCGTAGATTTAAGCTTATACAAAATGAAACGTGTCTGGGGTCGTAAGTATTAGTTTTGACCTTCACACCTCGACAGCGTAGTACAGTGCGCGTTAGTTTGGCTGTACTACACAGTCATACATTTACAAGTGTGAGCTTAAATTTTGAATGCAATTTATATGCAGTATTTACCTAGTTATAATCACCACGCTACAAAGCGACCAACTAATACACTCAACACTGTCGCTTCCAGGGCTTGATCACGATGACGACAGCCGACGACAATCCGATACGGAGAACCCAGAAACACAACACGCTCACACGCAAAACAGTCATGGGCAGACCTACGCTGCTGTATGTGGTTGTTTGCTTGACGCTTGTGATGGTAGAGCATGCGTACGCACTGTGATGGGGATGTGTGTCCCTGTGATGCGAGTGCTTAGAAAGCGCTGGGGGAATCGCTTAGTGTGTAGAGGAGAGGGGTTTTCAGTTCAATTATGTGCTTGTCCTGGAACAGCCCGCACCAAATTTTTATGTATCCTATATTCCATCTGTCTATTTATAGACGTGTATATCCGCCAGCTCTTGTCCACATAAGACCTAGGCTCTTACCCACATAAGACCTAGACTGGCGAATATCGGATGCGGATTACACAAACCCATGGCAAAGCTCAGCGCACATTTCAGCCGGAAGTCTTTCGTGACCGACACTTTTCGGCCGTTCATCACCGACATCCATTTGTATACGTACGCGTATGTGTCACATGCTATCAACCATACACGCACATGCACGCATATCCTAGAATATCCGTTCGCGTACATACTTTAACACGCTCATGCGTAACAGGAACAGGATTCGGAGTACTCAGACGACCTCAGTTATCAGTTGGACGAAGTGCACAACAACATTTCTAAACTCAGAGCGCATCTCAGCAGGAAACCTTCCGATTCCGATACTACACGCGCAGGTATAGGGTATTGTGTTTGCCAAGAGATTAGTACTTATGTCGTATATGAGAACGTATATTAAAAATGTATTTGCAAATTGATGAGTATATCTGTAGTGTGTCCATCCATGTATATCTGTTCATAGCAAAGTGTGTCTGAACCTTGCCGTTCTGATACCCCACCCATCTCCAGTGGGTTGCGCAGGCAAATGATACGGCATGTAGAGCAATACCAAAACCAACTGTTGCATATGGAACTATAGTTCTACTGAGTACACACTCAGAGTTTGCCTGCATTTCATAGTAGCGAATACACTGCGTAAGTTTCCTTAATAGGGCTACTTTAAATGTGAGGCGATTTTGTTCGTATGCATTGCACGGCAGGGACCAAAGGCACATATGGACATACATATACATACACACGACTGAAGGTACAGAAATAAATAAAAAACCACACTTGGCCTCGGCAAGCCAGTTGGTGCGGTTTATCCTATGTTGAAGTGACTGGAGCTGACCTTTTGTCTGAGTTCCACCCACTGTCCACTTCCCGCAGATGTGTGGCCACCCCCAAACACCGAATTCGAGTCGCGGGCTTTCGGCAGAACGTCCTCAAAACTACAATTTAACAAACCCGATTCTATAAATAGCACGTCACGAGCCACACGTACAAATACGTACACACACACCCAGGGACACACGCAAACCGACGTGACGAAAACGTTTGATCGATCAGTGACTGCACCGATCAGCTCACACCCTCAGGCGCAGACACGAAGCACCACACGACACACACGGAATACCAACCCAAATGTACCGACACACTCGCACGAGCCTGCGAGGCCAAGATTCTCTCAACCCGGCAAGGAGAGGGGTCTGGATGATGTACTGGCCAAACTCAACCGCAAGAAAGATGCTGAGGTACACACAGCTGAACTTGTTTTCTTCTCCCGAAACCTTGTTTTTGGGGTGTTGTACCTATATGCGACTGTGTGTTCTGTCACTCGAGCTTATCAGTTGAAGGTTGTACGCGCACTTTATATCATATAATCAATTCGGTGAACATCTGCACCTGTGTGCATATCCGCTCATGTATTTTTGGTGGCCTGTGTGTATTCCCAGATCGCTGATTGCAAGAGAGAGATTGAAGCCCTCCAGAAAAGAATGAGCGAGCGCGAGGCTTTGTTCAAGGACCAGATGAAAGGTGGGTTAATATTAGTCCAATTCTCATAGCATGTACCTATGACGAGTCAATCTGTGAGGGTTGTGTAAAACGGGGTGAATATCTGATTATCTGGGGTGCCAACATTAGCACTAGGCACACATGCCGTGTTTTGCTATAACTATAGCACAAACTATCTACGAGCACTATGAGCTGGGCGTTTGTAATGACGCGGGGTATGATGAGATAGATTTTATCACAGTGTACTTTGATGGGAAGCTAGATGTGTCATGCACATCTATTAACCACTCAATGCCCGTGCATGTGTGCACAAACATGATATTATACCGACGTGGGCGAAGGACATATCCAGTACAACCGTATATTATACCCTGGAAACATCTGTGACGAGTTTCCGGCCGCATAGATACTGGGGTAAATGGCTGGCATCAGACAAACAGGCATTAAGGTTTGCAATGCCCTGTAAGACCTCGGTGAAATACACTAACTGATACATACATCGACGACCTCCGCATGTACTTTTTTTGGTCGGGACTGCTGCTGTTAGTATGTTAGGTCTATACAAACAGGGCGCAACTCGTTTGTCAGACTACCACAGATAGGCTACATACGGAATGCAAGTAGAATTGGCTCTAAGTCTAAATCAAGGATACGCCGTATCAGGATTCGCAATTGGACATATACCGGGCCCCTTAGTATCAGTATACAACGGCGGCGATCATATCCTCTAGCCCTAAAACCCAAAACCCCCAAAACCCTATATGCACTTGCACATATACATATACAGAGGCTATGGGATTGGATCAGTATAAGACGGCTATGAAGTATCGCAATGACCTGGATGACCTCAGGGGGAAGCACGACGGTGAGGTGGCGGAGCTAAGAGCTAAGCAATTGCACCAGAACAGGTACGATAGAGAAGCACCGGTGTGTGCACACCCTCTGAAGTATGAGCTTTGGAATTGGTAAAGTATTATGTATTGCATTACAGCTCGCCAGGACATTTGTATGTGTCTGTATTTGTGTCTGCGCCCCTCTGTCAGTATCTGTGTGCATGTATGTGCAAGGTTGATCGCTCGCTTTTTTACGTATCGCTCGGCCTTCCCACTATCAGAATATAAATAAAGAACGACTGGAAAATATGGATGTATTAAAGATTGGAATTCTTCTTGTTATTCACCACTTGAAATTACTATAGTATAGTAACAGCGAAACCCCCCCCCCCCCCCCAAGATGCAGTCACTATGTAATTCACCATTGCTACTGATTGCTAGAGCGCCCGTCGAAAGGATGGTCTGGCCTGGACGTCTAGTTGCCCACTCACTACCTCGACTCTCACTCAATGCAACAGAGTGCAGATGGAAAACGATGCAACGATCCAAGAATTGACTCAAGATTTGGATCAGGTGAGAGTTTGTGGTTCACAACGGCCAGATACAATGTGTACAATGCGAGGCGAGACTATTAGTATGGCGTATGCCTTGTGTATTGATTTAAGGGTATAGGTGATAACAGAGTCTTGTCAACTTGGCCGATGGCGATTCACTTTACCTACTGACACACTGGGGATTTGTTGCACTGCCGATTTGGTGTTATCTAGTTAAGGTATAGCCACGACAGGACGGTATATGAATTGGAAAAGGCATTAGATTCACTCTACCTACTGAACTGACACACTGGAGATTTTGTTGTATTGCCAATTTTATGGTATATAGTTAAGGTATAACCACGACAGGACGGTATATGAATTGGAGAAGGCAATAGAACAGGCCACAACATCACTCGACGCCCAACGGCACATCTCTGTGGAGCGACAGGGTGAGAATGAGAAACTGGCAGCGGAGAATAAAACACTGACACAAGACAGGAATCTGTTGAGGACGCAGCTGCAGGAGAGTGAAGTATGCTGCATGGATGTAGGGATTTATTGATATGTATGAATATTTATTTGCATCTATACCTGTGTGTGAATAGTCATAAATAGCTACACGTGTCTATGTGTGTGCTCTGTGTGGCATTCTTGTTGGAGAGACACTTACTGGGTGGTTTCAAATAGAAGAGCGAGGTGAGCATATATACGTATATATTTATGTTATACATATATAATATATATATATATATATATATGTATGTATGTGTATGGCTGCATTTTAACCACAAAACAAGGTGGGAATAGTGTATGATTTGCTGTCGGTGTTATACGGTCCATTTATGTGCGTGTGTACATGTCGCTTTGAATATTGAATCACATATCGTCTGCAATCTGCGAGTTTGCTCCTCTCGCTCACACGTCTCTAGTCCTGTACATCATGCACAGTTGGTACATCTACAACGGTACATCTACAACTACGCACTTTTAGATAGAAAACTTGCCTCTACATGCGCACTATTATACGTTTGAGATACAAGCCGTCAATACATCTCGACCCTTGGGGTTTGGAATATCATTTTTATCCAGTAATTACAAGCTACAATATTATTATTTGATTTTCTAACTTCGGAGCGATACCACGCATCGGTATACACTGGAGTGCAGTAACTACTATACGCAGCCTACTTTGTATATCCGCTTTTATCATTTCGCCCAGTTTATATATCCTAAATATCAATTTCAAACTCTTTTATGTGCAATAGAGCGTGAAAGATGGCTTGAAGACCCGATTGGAAACACTAGAGAAAGCCCATGCGGATTGTAATGACACCATCGCGGCACTCAAAACCGCCTCGGAGACGCTCACAACGGTATTGTATTCATGGATGGTTTGTGAGTGTGAGTATATATCTGTATACGCCCACAAATATGCGTTCGGTTATGTGTGCACTGGTGGATTTGCTTTAGCTTGGGTGGTGTACAACAGGTGTCATGTGTGTATATACACAAAGGTATACGCAATACACAGTTGGGCTTATATGGTGCTCGATATATACACAATCACTGAAACGAAACGATTGGTTTTGATTACCATGTGAATATATGAGAAAGTATGCTAGCGTTGATCATACGTACCTACGGCTATATATATATATGTGTGTGTGTGTATATATATATATATATATATATATATGTATGTATGTATATATATATACATATATATATATATATATATTCATTGATAATTCGATGTGAATCAACATACACATCCGTTTTGTATAAGAAATGATATAGATATCTTTTTAGAGCATCCTAATATTTTTATACATATACCCTCTTGTGTAGGAACCGGAACATTTACCTTATAGGAGTACCTCATTGGATCTCAATCAATATATATATATATATATATATATATGGGGGGGGGTGCGTGTGTGTATATGTATGTGTGTATATGTATGTGTGTATGTATGTATATGTATGCATATGCCTATAAATATGTTTATATGAATAAGTATGCATGTGTATCTGTTTATGTACATGTATGTATTATGTATATATATATGTGTGTGTGTACGTGTGCGTGTGTGTATGTGTGCGCGTTTGTTTTATATATACTACATATATATATATTATGATTGTGTGTGTGTGTGTGTGATGTGGGTGGGTGGGTGGTGTT